CCCGTGACAGACGAATGGATTATTCACATCCACCCAAATCCCCAGCTCCCTCCTGGGACCCTCCTCTCACCTGTGCTCTTTCCCACCCCGCCCCACAGCCCCCTGAGGACCCCACTGCGGGCACTGGACCTGGCCAACTGTGCCCTGAACCACGCAGACATGGCCTTCTTGGCAGACTGTGTCCACGCCGCCCACCTGGAGGTGCTGGACCTCAGCGGCCACAACCTGGCCAGCCTGTACCCCGCGACCTTCTTCAGGCTGCTCGGCCAGGCTGCCCGGACTCTGCGGGTCTTGACCCTGGAGGAGTGTGGATTCACAGACAGCCACGTCAACATGATGATCCTGGGGCTCAGCCCCTGCCACCAGCTCCGGGAGCTCAAGTTCCTTGGGAACCCGCTGTCGGCCCGGGCCCTCAGGCGCCTCTTCACTGCCCTCTGCGAGCTCCCCGAGCTGCGGTGTGTGGAGTTCCCGGTGCCCAAGGACTGCTACCCCGAGGGGACCCCCTACCCCCAGGACGAGCTGGCCATGTCCAAGTTCGACCAGCAGAAATACGACGCGATTGCCCAGGAGCTGCGTGCCGTGCTGCTTCGGGCAGACCGGGAGGACATCCAGGTCTCCACACCCCTCTTTGGAAGTTTTGACCCAGACATTCAAGAAACAAGCAATGAGCTGGGCGCGTTCTTGCTGCAAGCTTTCAAAACTGCTCTAGAAAACTTTTCCAGAGCGCTCAAACAAGTGGAGTAGGGCCTCAAAGCACACCAAGGAGAGGTCGCGCTGCAGCCCGCGGGTGCCAGGGCATCGGTCCTGGGTCGGGGTGGGTCCAGCACCCACCCACCAACACCGCCACAATTATTTCTTAGTGAAGACCGAAGGCATGACTGTAGGAGCTAGAGGAGAGGACGCCCTGTCTTCCAGATGTGACCCGAGGTGACCTCAGCGTCAGCGCGGCAGGATCTCGGCCTGGCCGTGTCCGGCAGCTAGAGACACCAAGCACCTGAGAAAGACAGAGTTGGCCTTGGTTCCCACCAAGACCGGTTCTGTGCAAAGAAAGGGCTGAGTGACAGAATTATTAAATGCTGATAAAACAGAAGTATGGTTTACTCAGATGCAGTGCTTATTTCAATGCAATTCAGCATTTTAAAAAGGATCTAAGAGTCTAAGAGTAAAATATATTCTCAAGACAGAGGTGAATGCTTGGTGCGGTCAAACCCTCCTCAGGTGCTGACCCGTGAACACTCCCCAAGGGTATGAATTACAGTGCGTGCTCACACCTGCACCATGCAGTGCCCCCGTGTCACCTCCCCAGGTGTGCCTCCACCCAGG